TTTCATTTTGCTCCTGTGTCTTCCTTTCCAGGGTCTATATTGTTATTGTTTTTATCCTGTAGGTTTGTAGTGCTCTTGTATGGCTTCAAGACCTCTCCTTTGTGGGGAAGGACAATGTTAACAGATCCCAATATCAATAATATACCACCTATGAACAATTGTTGTTATTTAGACATTTACAGTTTAGTCTCGATGTACAGACATGTTGGATTCAATTTTTATCTAAAATATAATCAGTAGTTTTGTAAAAAGGTTTACAGTTTCTGACAGTGGACAATAAACTGCGTGTGGGGTTTAGGATGATATGTTGAGGAGGTATAATGTGAAGACAGAGAGTTAATATATCTTAGGAAGTATGAAGGAGAAATCTAGTGAAGAGGGTTAGTAGCAATAGAATAGACAGGAGGTAATTTAGGGTAGGCAAGTAGGTGGGATGACAGTAGAGTACATAAAACAAACCCACATTTGTATTTGGAAAAATACAGATGTTCAAACAGTAAAATTTGGAGGGGGAAAGAAAAATGAAAGAAGAGAAAAGGAAAAAAAAAGGGCATATACAACACCTCTGTACTATATTATTCAGATGACTCAGTCCTCAAAGTCCTGTTTCATGCAAAGTTCTTGGTTTCACATATGTTGGGGATGTGAGGGCCGGAGATGGAGGGGTAGAAGAGAAAAAACCAACCAAACAACCAACAAAAAACTTGAAGGAAGAAGCCAGGGCTGTAGCTAGGTTTAGAGATCCGTATCTTTCCTGCTTCTCTTCTCCTCCAGTAGGTGGCACTGTCTGCTGTAAGCTGGTGTCTCTGCCCTCTGGATGGTGGAGGTAACCAGGGGTTGAAAGACTGGTCCTGGCACAGGGAACCTGGATGTGGGGAGTGCCACTCACCAGTCCCTGCAGAAAGACTGCACCTCATGGATCTCTTTTTGGGACCGCTCGCTAGTATGAGGTGAGCGCCCGGTACTATCTCCCTCTCTTGCCTGGAGATTTCCCCAGTTTCTTGCCTGGAGATTCCCCAGTTCCTGGTCCCCCAACCCACCCCCCCCGCACCCCCCCCCCTCCTGTGGGCGGCTCCCTGGTTGCACTGCACACCTGTGTTGGGCAGCTACTGTGTTGGTGTTGGTTACGACTGCTGGGGAGTGGGTAAGGTTGGAAACCTGGTACCTGGCCTCTGGAGATCCGATCTGGGAACTGCCCCCAGCTGAATGGTGAGAATGTTGAGCCAAGACAGCACGGTCTGCTTTCAGTGCCAGGGAGCCTGGGGAGGTGGGGGGGGGGGGGGGCCGGGGGGGGGGGGGGGGGCCTGGGGAGGTCGGGGGAGCTGGGCAATGGCGTTGTGCTATGGGCAGGTAGCAGCTGAGTGACCTGCATGGGAGCGGAGAGAAGTCTTGGCGATCTGCAGATATGTTGATAGGTGATTCTGCTCAGGCACTCGCCAAGTCTCCTGTGGACTGGAACTTCAGGCTTTGGGTCCTGCTCCAACACTGGGTGTCCTACTTGTACACTGAGGCCCAGAGCCCTGCTTGGGGTCACAGCGCTGGTGATTTCTGCAGAGAGCTGCTGGATAGGGGTCCTCTAACACTCTCAGAATGTAGTATTCCGAGTAGGCAAATCTGCGGGGGTCTGGAGGTGTAGGGTGCCGGTAACGGGACAGCTCACTCCCTTCCTGCCATCATGTTTGAGTCCCCTCTCTGACTCTTGATCTTCTTCTATGATACTGACCTTTCTTATATTTTTATTATACCCTGCTGTTCTCTCCTTGAGAAAAAACATTAAAACATTGTTTTTCTGAGTCTGACTTATCTCACATAGCACAATGTTTTCCATTTTCATTCATTCACCACCAAATGCCATAATTTATTCTTTTTTTTTTTTTTTGGATGAGGAGATCTCCATTGTGTATAAGACCACAGTTTCTTAATCAATTCATCTATTGAGAGGCAACTGGTTTATTCCATAATTTAGCTATTGTGATTGTGCTGTGATAAACATTTAGGAGGCTGTGTCCCTGTGGTATGCTGATTTTAGATCTTTTGGGAAAATACCAAGGAGTGGGATAGCTGGGTCATGTGGAGGTTCCATTCCTAGTTATTTGATGATTCTCCACTCTGCTTTCCTGAGTGGTTGCCTTCATTTGCAATCCCACCAACAATGCAGATTTCAGTGTACATCTCACATACATCCTCGCCAACACTTATTATTATTTGTAATCTTGGCATTTGCTGTCTGACTGGAGTGAGATAAAACTGTATTGCAGTGTTGATTTGCATTCCCCCGATTACAAGGACTGTTGAAATTTTGGCCATTTGTGTTATTTCTTTTGAGACATTTCTGTTTAGTTTTTTTTGGTCCCATTTGTTTTTTGGGGGGTTTTATTATTATTATGGTTTAGGTTGAATGCTTTGAGTTTTGTATATTTTCTGCATTTTAATCCCCTGTTGGGGGAGTGGCTGGTAAAGCTCCCCTCCCATTCTGTAGGCCCTCTCTTCATTCCCTTCATCATTTCCTTTGCTGTGCACCAGGTGTTAACTGATGACATCACACTTATTGATTTTCTTTCTTGCACTTTGAGGTTTCATTAAAGAAGTTTTCATTGCATTTTTTTTTTACTTCTGTGCAGGGTGACTGATATGGATCTAATTTCAATTTTCTACATGTAGCAGCTATCCAGTTTTCCCAGCACCGTTTGGTAAAGAGGGTTTTTTTTTCTAAATGTATTTTTAGCACTTTTGTCAAATATCAGGTAGCTGTCAGTATGTGGGTTGTCTCTGTGCCTCCTATCCTTTTACAGTGGTCTTCATGTCTATTTGTGGCCAATGCTGTGCTGATTTTGTTACTATAGCTCTGTGGTATAATTTCAGGTCAGGTCCGGTGATGGTCCCTGTATCACTTTTCTTGCTTAGTATTGCTTTGGCTATTCTGAGTCTCTTATTCTTCCAAATGCATTTAAGATTTTTTTCTAATTCTGTGAATAATGTTATTGTCACTTTGATGAGGATTGCATTGAATCTGTATATTACTTTTGGTAGTATGGCCATTGCTCTTGGTAGTAGGGCCATTTTGAGATATTAGTTCTGCCTATGAAAAAACATGGGAAGTTTTTCATCTTCTATAGTTTTCTTCAATTTCATTCTTCAGTGTTCTTTAATTTTCATCTAAAGCTCTTTTAATTTTTTTAAAAGATTAATTCCCATGACCTTTATTTGTTTGAGTTTTTGTGTGAATGGGATGGTTTTGATGATTTCTTCTTTGTCTGAATCACTGTTAAGAGTATAGGAAAGCAATTGATTGATGCTTATAGATCTTATGTCCTTCTCCTTTGTTGAATTGATTTATAATCTCTAGAAATTTCCCAATGGAGTTTTTGGGGTCCTCTAGGTATAAGATTATGTCATTTGCAAGCAGATGATTTCCTCTGTTCCTATTTGTATCCCTTAATTTCCATCTCTTGCCTAATTGTTCTGTCTAGTGTTTCAAGATTTATATTGCACAGGAATGGGGAGAGTGGATAACTTGGGGAGAGTGGATAACTTGACTTGCTCTTCATTTTAGGGAAAATACATTTAAATTTTCTCTACCTACTGTGATGTTGGTTGAGGTTTGTCATTCAAAGCTTTTAAAATGCTAAGGTAAGATTCTCTGTCCTCACTTTCTCCAGAATTTTTAACATGAATCGATGCTCAAAAGATCTTTTCTGCGTCTATTGAGATGTCCTGTGATTCTTGCCCTTAATTCTGTCTAATTGGTAAATGACATTAGTTGATTTGCTTAGTTGATTTGCAAATGTTGAACCAACATAGCCTCACTGGGATGAAACCCATTGATCATGCTGTAAATACATTTGCATCTTGATGTGTTTTTCATGCCGGTTGGTAATATTTCATTAAGTATTTTTGCATCTACGTCCATCAGTGATATTTGCCTGGTTTTCATATAAAGATTATTCTAGCTTCAGAGAGTGCATTTGGGAATGTTCCCTCCCTTTCAATTTCATGGCACAATTAGAGAAAGACTGGTGTTAGTTTTTCTTTAAAGGTGTGGTAGGACTTAGCTGACGGTGCTTGTGGTCCTCGTCTGTTCTTTGTTGGAAGCCTTTTACTTGCTGTTTGAATTTCACTCCTGACACTGTTCTGTTTTTGGGTTCAATCTGGGCAGGTCACATGTATCTAGGAATTCGTCAATACCTTCTAGATTTTTCTGTTTTTTTTTTCTTGAGTCTGAATTTTGCACATAGTGTCCAGACTTTCTCTGGATTTCAGAAGTGTTTCCAGTGATGTTTCCTTTTTCATCTTTAATTTGATAAATTTGGGTCTTCTCTCCCTTCCTTTGGTCATTTGGCTGAGGGATTTTCAATCTTATTTAGCTTTTCAAAAAACCAGCTCCTCCTTGCATTGATCCTCTGTGTTGTTTTTCATTCTCAATTTCATTAATTTCTGTTCTGATCTTAATGATTTCCTATCCTCTACTCTTTCTGAAATTAGTTTGTTCTTCCTTTCCTAAGGCCTTGAATTAGAGTATAACCTTATTTATTTGATATCTCTTTATTTCACTCAGGTAGGCACTCAATGATTTAGATTTTCCTATTAGAGCTGCTTTCATAGTGTCCCAGAGATTTAGATATGTTGTGTCTCTGTTCGAATTTGCTTCTAAGAATTTCTTCATTTCTACTCTCATTTCCTCTTTGATCCATTCTATATTTAAAGATTAACCCACACACAAAAAGCACAATGAGGACAGGAGAGGTGACAATTGTGGAAATGAGATTAAATTGGGCACAAGTGGGTCAGAACAGAAGCAGCTGGCCGTGGTGTGTGGACATGGATCCCGCATATGGACTTTCCTTTGTGGATGGATGAACCTAGTGAATTGACATTACCCACCTACACAAGGGGAGAGGTGGTGACCAAAAGGGCGATGGTATTAAAGGGGCTGATAAATCACCCAGGTAGAAAAGATGCTTGCTTCACATCTTCCAATAAAGAAGAACAGGCCAACTTGCTGAAATTCCTCTGGGTAAGCTTTTATAAAGAAACAAAACACTAACACTCAGTGCTTCTAATGTTTCAAAGGACTGGGCACTATGTCTTCTTTTTATTATGGTTTTCATTTCCCTATATGTTTAAACTGACATTTAACTGATATTTTGTGTCTTTCATATTGTGACAAACGGGTGAAAAGGTGGAAGAACCATCATTATTTTCATGATTACTATGGAGATGGCTTCCCAGGGTTTTGGTTTCAGTTTGCATGGTCATTTTGACAATCCTGCTCTTCCAGGGAGAGAGAAGACTGCCTTTATAGGACAATGCTGATGTTCATAAGTGCTAAGGAAGACAATCACTGGGTTTAAGGAGAACCTTTTTCTTTCTGGGTTTGAGGCATAGGACACTTAGGTAAAGAGGAAGGAGAATAATTTTTCATATTCAACAGAATGAGTTTCATGTGAGAACCTCAACAAGGCTGGGGAGAAGTCATAGGCAGGAAAAAGATTGCTGAATGACTCTTGAGAGTGAGGACTTGGGGTGCTTGATGGCCAAGCCCAAGGCAATGGAGGAGAGGCATCCTCACGTGGTCAGGTGGGGCTTGCTTGTCACATTCTGGAGAGGTCTGATGAGTACTGCTCAGAGGCAGGTCCCAGGGCCCTGCTCAGGACCATGAGTTCAGGCTTAGCCATGGGGCATCGAGGACTGGGCAGAGGAGCAACAGGGGCCTGTGGGCTGGCTGGTGTCCTGGGAGGAGGCATTTGGAACAGTCTACAGAGGCTTCTTGGCAGCTCCTTGTCTCAGGCTGAGCACCGTGGAGCAGGAAGAAGGTGGCAGAGACGGAGGGTCCCAGGTAGCAGGGAGTGAGGAAGGATCTGTGGGAAACATGTCCACATTCAATTATCTGCTCACTATTCCTGAGAGTTTTCTGAGAGCAATGATCCTCATGTGGCTGTCCTGGGAAATCTGTTTTGATTGAAACTATGGCCCCAAGACAGGACTCTCAGCTCAGCCTCTCCTGTTTCCTGACTCCCCTTCCCCCCTTCCCTCCCCATGCAGTGGGCCACAATGAGAGTCAGAAGTGAGCAGCCCTGAGAGCAGCCCACCTAGACCTTCTCAGCATTGCTCTGTATGACAGAGTCTTCCTGTGCATGGAGGCCCAGCTGTTGACTATTAGACTAATTTAGAGGTGGCCTTGAAGGGACACACTCAATCTGCTGCACCTCTTTGTACCCCCATGACACATCATCTCTGGAACTCCTAGGACTCAGTGGACACCCGTTGCCAACCCTTGACCTCCTCATCTCTTGCACATCCCACACACTTCCTGGGAGCTGGGACTCCACAGTAGTTTCTTGAGATGCTGAGGGTGCTGAGGGGTGTGTGCCTGGTTCTCTAGACCCACTGACTCTGCAGCTGTGCACAGGTGACTGGCACTCCCCCTGGCCCTGCCCCCTCTGCAGCAGCCTGTGCTCCATCCTCCCTCCTGGGGACTTACAGTCAGGGCTTCTGCTTCCTGTGGATGTAGACGGCAGAGACACCGACTGTCAGTAGGATCTTGGGGCCAAACAACAGACCTATGAGGTGTGAAACTAGTGTAGACATCACTGTTCCTGAAAATCAAGGGACAAGGGGAGCCATTAGGAGGACTCCTATGCGTCCATTCCCAGGAGCCTTTACTTGCCCCAGGTGAGGCTACCTGGGCCCTCCAAAATTATAAATCCATAGCACACCCCATGTCCTGGCTGCCGTAGTCAAGCCTGAGGCAGAACCTGGTCAAGAGGTTCCTTATTCCCACCCACCCAGTCTCAGGTCCCAGGTGTCCTCCCTGAGGGAAGGTGAAATTGTGTGCTCTGTGACATTGCCATCCCAGCCAGGCTGATTCTGTATTGATCCTCTGCGTCTCACGGAGAGGGATCATCTCCTCCTGGTAAGGACACTGAGGCCTGGGAGTTAGGGAGGGTAACAGCTTAGAGGAACCCAAACCCAGGGAAGCTCCTCCATGGAGTCCTATATGGTGACACCTGAGATCATGGTTTTTGGACCAAACAAATGCCCAGTGTCTTTATGCCCAGAAAGCTATTTTCAGTGGGGCATGCACATGGGGTGAGGGCCCTTCCCTGGTGAGAGGTGATGGCAAGGTTGCTGGCTCAGGTCCATGGGTGAGCTGAGGGACCCTGGGTCTCAGCACCTCGGGGAGCCTGCTAAGGAGGTGCAGGATGAACTAAGAAAACCACTGGCTGAAAAAGACTTTCCTGGGTCAAGAACACATTTCTCCTATGTGAGAGGGGCCACAGTCTCCTAATAGCAGACCCCCCTCCAGTGCTCTGTCACCTGAAGTCTTTCTGTTGGACACACAAACCAGATCCAGGGAATTAGACCTGGGGAGTCTTTTCTTTGTTGCCATGAGCCATTTTTCCTTTTAAAATGATGCTAACAAAGATGGAAAAGTATTTTATGAAAAATGTAATGCTGTTGGATCCTTGGGCAGGAGGGGACACCTCACCCCGTGGGGCTGCTGCCCTGCTGGGGGCCGTGGTTCTCAGCTGAGTGGTGCTCTGGGGCTCCCCCTCAGTGGAGGAGAGCTGCACTGCCTGCCCCCTCCTCCCTCTAGAAGGCACCAGCATCAGAGCCTGGCTGAGCAGGGAGTGGAAGACCCCCACCCTACCACTGAAAGCAACTCTGGGGCTCCTCTGGCTTCTGTGGAACAGCTGAGCTGCTTCTGCATCTCTCTGCAAGTGGGAGGGACCCTGATGTTGATCCTGAGAACATTCCAGGAATCTCCCTGATCCCCTATGTCCATCACAGAGGACACTTCCTATGGAAACCCAGCTCCAGGAGTGGTCTGGGAATCAGACTCTACACTGTGAGTTTGAACCTGGGACTCATCAGCTGTCTGGTAACATGACCCCAGTGCTGGAGGTCAGGGGCACCTGGGCAGGCAGTGGCCTGTGGTGGAGGTGCTGAAGTGAACCTGTTATTTAACCTCAGGAAGGGAACTTATGGCATCTAGTGCTTGAACATGAAATGGCTGCTATTAGACTCTGGCTTTGGAGGGCAGAGGTCAGCAGAGTAAGTAGGAGAGAGAGGCCGTGAGGAAGGAGAACAGAGCATTTGGTAGGTGAACACCAGTCCTTTGGGGAAAGACAGTGAAAAACTAAGCGTGAGTCATCAGAAGGTAAAGGTGAAGTCTGGGAGCCAAAGGAGTTCTTGGTGGATTTTTTGTCTACTGGAGCCAGAGGGCAGCAAAAGCAGAGGTTTGGTTCCTGGATGTAATTCCAACAGTAGTAGAGATTCAGAGGAGTTGACATTCTCAGGTTCAAGGGCTCTTCCTGATAGGGAAGTTGAGGGAGCTGAATATGAAGGTTAGGGCCATATAGATCAAAGCACTCCAAGACCTTCAGTGGACTTCTGGGTTGCTGGCCACAGTCTCAGACGGATGGCTGCCAATTAACTCTGCCCCAAAGACATCCAGTGCCATATTCCATGTTCCATCCAACAAAAATGCCTCTCCTGCATCATGAAATCCTCACCACATCCCAGAAAGGAGAAGTGCTGTGGTTCCATGTTACAGAGAGGATCTGGGATGCTCCAGGGCACACTTCCCATGGGCTGGCCATGAGGATGCAGTTTTTATGCTGGTGTCCAGGTGTGTCACAGGAAAATGGGAGACTCTCAGACCATTAACTGAAGCCTCCTCCCACAGAAGCAATAAAAAGAAGATTGATATAAACCCGAAGTAAGCAGAATAAAGGAAATAATAAAGAAAAGAGTCAAAATTCAATAAAATGGAACACAGGGAAGTAATAGAGAAGATCATTGAAACACAAATTGATCCCTTTGAAAGATCAATAAAATAGAAAATTCTCTTGCAAAATTGATGGAGAGAGAGAGAGAGAGAGAGAGAGAGAGAGAGAGAGAGAGAAACGGTGGGAAAGAGGACACCCTAGTAACATCAAGATTGAACATTGTGTATTGCTACAGATTCTGCAGATATTAGACTGATAATAAAGAGATATTAGGTTCAAACATGCCATTACAAAGTTGACATCTTAGGTAAAATGAACCAAAAATGCTTCAAGAATCACAACCTATCCCAACACACCCAAAATGAAATCTAGCATGTAAGTGGTCCTAAACTGCTAAGGAAATACATTATTTAAAAAGTTGGCAAAAGCTTCCTGATGCCCAGGTGGTTTCCTAAGGAGGTTGTACCATGCATTTAAGGATGAATTAAAACCAATTTTGGTGCAGAGCAAAGAGGTATTAAAGGAATTTTGAAAAATTTGAATACATACTCCAATAATTTTTAATGATTAGAGAAAATTATCATTATTATTTTTTTAACTGGGATAGTGCTGTTGGATTTGTAGAAGAATGTCCTTCATCATTTGACAACTCCAGCTGTGGACTCCTGGTACTGGTGTGCATACCTGTCTAAGTTTTTAGCAGATATGTTTATGAAGCTTCCATGTATCTCCTACTATGAGGAAAATTGCATTTGCTTCCTATCATTACTCTTCCTTCAAGACAGGGACAAATCATGGCCCAGTGTTGACCCAGCACATGAAGCCCAAGATAGGGCATCTGGAAGGAACTTGCACCTTGAAAGAGTTTTTTTGGAGTCCAGACCTGCTGTTGTGGTTACATAGGAAATAATACGCACTAGGCTACAGAATGGGGTCTCCAGACAACTATGGGTCTTTGAGACAATTTTTCATGGGAGAAGGAACATTGTTTTTAATTAGCAAAAGTTTGCTCTATGGGCTGGTATTGGCCCTGTCCCCAGCAACTTAGATTTGCATTGAGTAGTATGGATATTCTCTCCATGTGTCAGGGCAGGAAGCCATCAGCAATGTTCCCATTGGTCTCCAGGGCTGTCCTAGTTTCCCTTTCTGTAAACGCCTAACACACAGGTAGTTGGAGCATCAAAGGAGAATATACACAAGCAGAAATTTGCATGTTGTGATGAGGCTTTGAGGGTCGTCATTACAGTAGGTCTGTGACCACAAATCAGGAGGAAATCAAGAAACCTGTGGAGACCACTCAAGGTCATCTAGAGGCCTGGTCCAAACAGTCTCCACCTCCTCAGGGAGTCCTTTCCCGATTTCCCCTAGAGGAGCCAGAGTCTTCTTGGTGAGGATACAGATGTGTATGGGAAATTCTAATACAGAATAGAACCTGGGCAGAGGTCAGCAGGGTAAGTAGGAGAGAGAGGCCCTGAGGAAGGAGAGCAACTGGTAGGTGGACAGACAAAAGGCTGAACAGTAGGAAGGAGGGTTACCCTCCCTCTCCTTCTTCTCTAATATCTATTTATGTCAGAGGATCCATGGAGAGATGGACCAAGCTGTTCACAGGGGAGACTCTTGGGGTGAGGAGTGGGGGATTGCCAGTGAATGTAAGGTATATATACATACTTGAGAATTATTCTACAGTGAATCGGAATACTACCTGTAGCACTTAAAAAAAAAAGATAGAAGATAGTAAAGACCCAGTCAGCTGAAGTGGACATTCCACCAGGGAGAAATTTTTTCTTTTTGGTGTTGGAGATTGAGCCCAGGGGTGCTTATCCACTCAACCATGTCCCCAGCCCTTTTTAATATTTATTTACAGACATGGCCTCTATGAGTTGCTTAGGGGCTTGCTGAGTTGCATAGGCTGACCTGGAATTTGCCTTCCTCCTGCACCAGCCTCCTGAGTGGCTGCGATTGGACATCTAGCCTGGCCAGGGAGGTGTCTGTACCCTGCTTCTTCTGGGGGGTGGAGATATCCAGCCTATGATTTCTGGAGGTAGCCAGTTGCCTTTCATGTCCCAGCTAGCAGGTGACCACTGCATCCCCACTCTGGGCACAAGAGTTCACCAGGAGCCCCCTCATGTGGTTACAGGTACTGTCCGTGGTCTCTGTGATGACTCAGGTGGTTTCATCTTGGACACTTCCATTCTCCAGCCAGGTCAGATGCAAGCTCAGGGGATAAAACTTCTTTACTTAGCAGGTGACAAACACCTGGTTATGTGTCACTTTTTTAGATGACCTCCATAGTGGGTAAAAAGAGAAGTGGAGGGCAAGAACAATTAGAATTGACAAGTGGCAGGTGAAGAAGGCAAGAGGCGGCTGCCAGGACAGGCCCATCCCCCATTTCCTTCTTCCTTAGTGTCCCTATTTGAAGGCCTCATGAGATGTGTTCCCAACCCAACAGAGGAGACCCTCAGAGTGTGGGTGTGGGGAGCTGACTAAGACGCTGCTGTTCCCAGGCTCTGGGTGCCCTGTGGGAAGGGGGGTCACTGCTCTCACAACACAACACACAGAGTCAAGATGAAGTTTAAAGCAATCGATCTCCTGGGAGAGGCCTCACCAGGGGTGTTGTCCATACCTTGCTCCCTGAAGCTTGAAGAGACCTGCAGGGTGTAGTTCCTGGTGGTGGCTGGCTGTGCGTCATGCTCCACCCGGCAGGTGAACGTCACGTCCTCCCTGTGCACAGAGGTGTTGACCAGCAGCCAGCTCATCAGGTTGAAGGTCCCGTCCTTGTTCTCTGAGCGGGTCGAGGCTGTTTCTTTCCTGGACACATTTCCATTCTCCACCCAGGTCAGCTGTAGGCTCTGGGGGTAGAACTGCATTACCTGGCAGATGATGTTCACCAGGTTCCCTGCCATGGTGGGCAGGGGGGTGACCTCCACGGTGGGTGGAACTGAAACAGCACAGGCAGAAGCTGTGGCCTTATGGGACAGATGCTGAGCTCCTCCCAGCAGGGCAAGGGCCTCCCTCAGGACAGTGCCAGGCATGCAGAGGGGCTCAGACACTGAGGGTTTGCACAGGTGTGAATCACTAACCACAGGGCCTGCCACCCACAGGTGCCAAGTGACCAGCAGCTCCCCTGAGGGTAAAAGTGAGTGAGGTTGACAAGCAGAATTCTGGCCTGAAAGAAGTTTAGCAGAATAGATGGAACCCCCCATTGAGCAGTGGTAGTTTCTACTGGTCAATTTAATGAAGCCAGTAGCACATGCTGGCCACGGGGCAGGAGTCCACATGTGATGGCAGGTGGCAACACTGCTGGGATTTAGACCCCAAGCCACTGAGGTCCTGGAGAAAAGGCCCCTGGGGAGCAGCAGGCTGGGTGGCCAGTGTGGGCTGGAGCAGGGAGTAGGGTCCTGTACCTTGGATGGTGTCAGACAAGTTGACAATCCCATGAAGAGGAGGGCCCCCCTCCAAGGTGAAATGGGCCACTTTGCAGATGACCTGAGAGTAGATGTCTCCAGGGGCCAGGGTCACCTGGGCTGTGCTGGACACACTGTAGGACACACTTTCTCCTGTGGGGTGCACGCTGGTCTGGGTGTGCGAGAGCTCATTCCTATTTTTGAACCACTTCAGGGTGATGTTCTGGGGGAAGAAGCCGTGGGACTTGCAGGTGAAGCTCACCATCTGCCCAGGTGCCGCCCTCGTCTCAGGACCCGACACCACAGGGGAAGAGGGTCTGGCTGTGAAGGGGATTGACAGACGAGTCAGGTAATTGGGAAACCCCTGCTTCCCACAAACCGGTGACATGGTTGACAATCATCCCCGACGTGATTGTTGGTGTTATTATTTGCTGTGCTGGGGATTGAGCCCAGGTGCATGCAGAGCACATGCTCTGTCACTGGGCTACAACCACAATGATAAGACATGATTTTTTAAATGCTCCTAATAAAGCTCTCTGGGTGCTGAGCTGATCCCTGTGTGGCGTCCCTACCCTCAAGTCCCTGGGTGAGCCCAACTATGTAGCAACACAGTGAGGAACGTCAGCCCAGGTGCTGCTCCAGGCTTGAAGTCAGAGCCTTCCTCTCAGCACCAGGACACTGCTACCAACCTGGGCCCAGGGAGAACTTCACAGCCCTGTCTCACTCTTTGTTAACAACGTTTTCCTGCTGGCCTGCCCTAGAATGCTTGACACCAAGGGGGGTCATATTTAAAAACAAATGCAGGGGACAAATAGTACCAGGACACTAAAATGAACATGGGAACCAGCTCTTTATGCTGAGACCTGGGCCAGCACCTCATCTGTGGAGTGGGGTGGTTGGCAAATCTCCTCCCAGGCCACACTGAGCACAGCTGGCTTTGGGTCACACAGAGCTGTCCCTGGAATCTCAGCAAACTGTAGGGTGTGTTGTCCAGAGACTGGGGAGGCTGAGGCAGGAGGACTGCAATGTCCCAAACAGACTGGGAAACATAGCAATAACATGCCTCAAAATGAAAAATAAAAAGGGCTGAGGATGAAGCTCAGTATTAAGGTGCCCCTGGTTTCAATCCTGAGTAACAATAACAAAGCAAACAAAAACAAACCGAGGTCCATCCTTCTTCCAGACTTTATACTGTGCATGTCTCCTCCACAGGTGGTTATGAATTCACCCCAATTGTTCTTCTTTCCACACGTATGCCATGAGACTCACCTGGGCCAAGACCTGAATTTGAGAAGGAGAGGATGAATGGGAGCTTTTTTTGAATCTGGGCTTCTCTGGGTCAATTGGCATTGGAGTCACAGGTCACTGAGTGCAGAGGAAGCTGCAGGGCTAAGTTCATAACTGATGGCTAATTACAAGAGATGCAGACCCAGGCCCCTGAGCAGGTCCTGAGGGCACTCAGGTGAGAGTATCAGGAGGCTGCTTGCCTGTAGATAGGTCCTCAGATGGATCCTTTGGTGTCTCCAGATTGTTCATCACCACTCAACACCTTCTAAAGCTGTCACCAGGCAGCAAAAATCATGAAGGTTTGTATCCTCAAATACTGACCTCACTGCCTGACATGCACCCAACACTCAGAGGTCACAATATGCAGGTTGTCACTGAAGAAGTGGAGTCATCCAGACCCCAGCAGCCTGGAAGACACTACAGGGGATAGAGACTCCATTTAGTGGCCTCTTATCAGGAGCTAATCAGTACCCTGATGCTGCCCTGAGCCCCCAGAGCCCCTCAGATCTTGATAACCACCTGTTCCATGAGGGGGTGCTAGTGAGAGCCCATTGTGAGACAAGACTCAGAGAGGGAAATGGCCAGCCAAGGGCATCAGGCTGGGGGAGAGGGGATAGAGCAGACTGCTCTCGTCCACACAGGAGGACAACGTAACACCTGTTCTTTTTCTGCTGAGCCTCAGTGTCCCCTTCTATAGAGAATTCTTAAAGCACCACCCTGCAAGACTAGAGTGAAGGCAAGGGACGGTGCTGGAATGGAGTAGGTGCCCAATAAATGACATCTGTGGCTGCTATTGTCACCTTCTAAACCCACACATTCATTGTTTAGCAACAAATGCAGTGGGGACCCCAGGAACAGTCTCCATCCTGTTCTTGCATCTGCCAAGAGAGGAGGAGCAGAAATCAGGCCTTGGCCCAGGTGAGACCCATAGTATGTTGTGGAAAGAAGAACAATTGGGGTGAATTCATAACCACCTGTGGAGGAGCCCTGCACAGAATAAACCTGTGTGAGAGGAGGAGAAGAAATCCCTGGATGATGGTGAAGCACCTGTTTTCTTGTCCCCCCCAGCCCCCCAGGGAGGTACTGAGAGTCTACCCAGGGCCTCAGGCATGCTCAGCAGGTGTCCACCACTGAGCTGCACCCCCGCCCTCTCCCTGTGCTCTTAAGAGTCCCCACAGGAAACAAGGTGGCAAAGTGCTTCTCACATCATGAACAGCATCACAGGGGTTTCATCCAGAGAAGCTGTTTCCATAAAGAGGGGTTCTGTGAAGGGACAAGGGACAGATGCCTCAGTGACATTCTGGGTCACCAAGGCAGGGAGCGCTGTGTGCTGAAGAGCCGGGACTCAGTGGCTCCAGCTCCTGTTCAGAGACAGACTCATGTCAGATGTGGGCTCCAGGCTGACGCTGGATCTGAGCAGGCTCTGTCGGGAGACCCTGCCACAGACCCCAGAGAGCAGGAACACCTGAGAAGGACTCCTGTGCTTTCCCTTATTGCCAAAGGAAAAAACACCAGCTTCCCTTCCGTGTCTTAAGGACATGGATCTCAGGAGTCGAGAGCCCAGGCTGTGTGTTAGAACCTTCTAGAGTAAGCAAAATCTTCAGATGCCCAGATTCATGTTGGAATTTAAAAGCAAAACGTCAAGGTAAATCCTGGGTCTGGGAGTTTTTGTCTTCAGTTTCTCACATGATTCTTATGCACAGCCAGTGGGGAGCCCCCGACCCCACCCACCACAACAGTAAGAAAAAATATAACATCTCCACAGGAAGAAGGCTTTTGCCCTTGTTCAAACAACAGAGCAGCTCCGTGTGTCCTGCTGGGGCATCTCCCTATGGAAGGAGATCATGGCCAACATTCAGGAGAGGATCTCCACTCACTGTGGCTTCAGGGTGTGCATGTGAGTGGCTTCCTGAACCTTGGGAGAAGGAGGAGGAACAGAGATGCTGCTCCCTGCCCAGTGGGTCAGGTCAGGTCTGTGTTGAGCCCCTCCTGTGCCCTGGCTCCTCTGTGGGGACAGTGTCTGTTCCCAGGGCAGCAGGAGCCTGGGCTGGAGTCAGGTCTGGGCTCTGTCCCCTCCTGGCATTAATGTGCTGTGTGAGAGAGGGCCTGCTGGGCCTCCAGCTCCCCAGGTCAACAGGGGTGGGCACAGGTGTGAAGGTCCATGTGTGCTGACCACCTCAGACTCATGGCTTAGGAGGGGCATGCAGGGCCTGTTGAAGGAACCACATAGGGAGGACCTGTGCTTCCTGAACTGGGACCCCTGTGTCACATACATGGGGAATATTGCCTGGTGAGTGACCCAGTTCTGCCCCTGCCCAGCAGGGCCTGTGAGGGCTGGTCCTTGAGACACAGGGATTTCCAGGCCGACCCAGGGCAAAGGCCCCACCTCTTGGCAGCTCCTCCACCAGGGACCCAGGTCTACAGGGAACTGGAGCCTGTCAGAATCCTCTCAGGTGCTTTTCCAGGAGGGGAAGGAAGGAAAGCATGCCCTGCCCCCTCCCTGCTCTGGAGGGCCTTGTCCTCAAGGAAGGCACAGGAACACTAGCCTGGTGGGAGAGGAACTTTAGCCTATGATGCTCCCAGCTGTTTCCAGACCATCCAGAGTGTAGACAGGTACATAGTGGATCTTGGGTGCTGGTGGCAAAAAAGAAGACTCATCCATACAAAGGCAATGCTCTCTGAAGGCAGCAGACATGCTCTGGCTCTGTGATTGGCAAGTCCCTCAAACCCTCAGAGCCCTCAGCTGGGGAGCCACAGGGAAGGCCAGACTGGAAAAGGTCAGGGCTGTGGAGCAGGCAGGTGAGGGGTGCAGATGCCCCCCATTTACCAGCCATGGAGCCTGGACCTAATAGCACAGCCTCCACAGGCCTCTGCCTCCCTGACCTGCAGAAGAGTGACAGCAGGTCATGACAAGAGCACCCAGTGCTGTTCCTGCTTCTCAGCTGTGGCTCCCAGGGTGGAGGGCATGACCCCTGACCTCCTGTCCCACCCCAGGGAGGAGGAGGCAGCTGCACTCACCTCGCACAGACAACTGGGTGCCTGGTCCAGACTTATACTCCTTATCAACAGGGGTCGATTTCTGGAACTTCACACAGTAGTAGGTGCCGGTGTCTGCTGGGGTGACATTACTGATGCGGATGGAAAAGTCCCTGTTGTCCCTCTTTGTGGCATCTGAGAGATTTGTGACTCGGGGGAAGTGGCCTTCTTTGAAGTTGTAGATCAGCTCCCGGCCCGGCCCTGACCCCTTAAACCAATGCATAGGCCCCACAGGGAGCAGGGAGGTCTTGGAGCAGTACAAAGTGGCTGACTGTCCAGCAGCGACAGACACTGACTTCTCAGGCTGGATCACCTGCAGCTCCTGTGCAGCCGCTCCTGGGGGGAGACACAGGGTGGTCACTGTTCATCCTGGGGGATCCTCTTGGTTTACCACGTGGCATCAGCAAAGCCTGTCACTGACTGAGTGCCCACAGAGTGGCCTTGAATTCAGCACAGAGCATGTGTCCTCACACTGAGCCTCCCCTGGCCTGCACCTCCACACTGTGAGACACCTGTCCCTGAGGCCCAGAGCCCTGAGCAAGGTGGAGGGAGGGGACTTGAGGGCCTGAACCCTCCCTAAGCTCTCATGTGTCACCAACTATTTGTGGGTCTTCCTTTTCTGACCACTAGGTCACTGGCCCTTCATGGACCATGACATTGTGTGGGGTCCTGTGGCTCTTGGGTTTCCTGAATTTTGGGGAAGTGGTGGGTACAATTAGTGGGACTTGCATTTGACTGTGCTCTGCTTTGTGAAGCTCTCTGTTGCTTTTCCAGAGAGCTTATAATGGTCTTCACCTTAGAGTGCTGCTTCTATCCCAACCTCAATAATGCACACTGAGATACCAGTTCTCAACCTTGACCCCAGCTACAGAATCATCCTACCATTAAAAGGAACACCTGACCATGTGAATTGGTTATTTACCAGTGTACTGTGTGGGAATGTGATTTGAGGAAGGTCCTCTTCTGATGGGTGTGCGTAGAGGTATTAGGGACATTAGGGAGTGAATTTCATCATTTTATGTTATATGCATGTATGAACATGCCCAAACCCATTATTTTGTCAAATTCATATGTGCTCCACCATCCAAAAAAACAAAACAGTTAAAAAAAAATAGGAACAAAGGCCCCTGGCATTTCCCCAGATACTTTTCTAGGCAGAGGAGGGGGACTCCTGTTTGCAGAGCAATGATGTGGGAAGCTTCAAGCCATGTCAGCATCATAGCTGCTATAAAAATTCACTGTGGAGGGGATCCAAGAAGATGGGCCAGAAGGAGGCACATTCTGTGTCACTCTGTCACCTGGGACCCAAGTAGTGAGAGTATACTGCTTCTCTGCAAGTGATTTTTCTGCTTCTGAACAGGAATAATGGCCACTGTGTGCATGCAGGGCTCCAGGCCTCAGCGTCAGAGTAGGTCTCCCAACTACTCACCCACGCAGAACTACTGGGTGCTCAAGCAGGACCATCAGCATCAGCACCTGTGCAGAACTTATGGCCACCCACATGAGCAGAAATCCAGAATGCTGCTTCCACACAGGACTCCTGGAAGCTACCCGTGTGTGGGAACTCTGGCCACCACTCCTGTGTGGACCTCCATCTACTAATGTTGGGCTCCCCTGGTAGCCTCCATCTTGGGACTCCACAGCAATGGAGATAGTCCCTTATGCACAGTAGCCTGCCTGCACCTGGGGACTTCACACAGGCTCTGAAGACAGCCAGCTTGTCTCTGAACATATCATTCATTGCCATCTTCCAGCTCCTCCCACCTGACCTGACACCCCATGCTGAAAGAAGCTGCCTCCATCTTGGGTCACCTCATCACCATCTCTAGTGGGGGCAAGTCTCAGTTTGGAACTCTGGCTGGCCAGGTGCTGGGCCCATGAGTTGGAAAGCAGCCTATGTGGCCTATGTGAGGGACTCTCAGGGTCCAGCACACTGAACCCAGATACAGTGGTTAGCACACTACCTGCACTCAGCCCTATCACCATACCTGGCCTCCCTCAGGTGCACAGCATGTTTCTTTCCTTCTGCTTTTCTGCCATTGACCTTTGAGACCATTGGCCGCCACTCGTAAGCATGTCACTAGTTCATTGGGTTATTTGACCCTCAGATGAATCTGCCCAGTAACAGACTTTGCATAAAACTTGCCTATGCAATAATAAAGTGGATTGAGTTCTCTGTCACTGACCCTTGGAGGTCTCTTTTTGACTCCATTGCCACGCCTTCCTCAGCTGTTTGGTGGGCTTTTGCTGGACCTAGTGAGCCCTCATCCAGGTACCCAGTTTCTACCCCCTCCCCCAGCAGCTGCTAGCTCAGCACAGTGACTGCCCAACACAAAACAGCTCTTGTAACATGCCCAAAGTGCCCCACACAAGATCCCCAGAGAAAAATGTCCCTTATTATGAACTAGTAAGGGAGAGGGTGAGTGTGATAGAGTTTAGAGACTAACATAGAGACCAGGACCTGGGAGGTCTTCAAATGAGATAAGGAGATAAGTCCAGGTGCTCACATCACACGAGTGGGCCCAAAAAGAGATTCTTGAGGTGCAGTCTTCCTTTGCGGACTGGCAGGTGCCACACTTTAATTTATGGTGCCCTCCTCCCAGGACCAACCCTCCCTCCCTGATTTCTTTCACTGTCCTGAGGGTGGAGATACCAGCTAACAACAGATGACCCTCCTATTGGATGAGAAGGGAAGGAGGAAAGATCCTGATCTCCAACCAAAACATTCCTGATTTCTTCCTTCAAGATTATTTTTCTTTCCTTTTTCTTCTCCCTCTTTATTTTCCCTCCCTCATCCCCAACATATGTGAAACCAAGTACTTTGCATGAATTGGGATTTTGAGGACTGGGATACTGAATAGTATATTACAGTTGTGTTGTACATATTTTTTTCCCACCAATTTTTACCATTTTAACATTTTAAATTTTTCTTAATGCATGTGTTTTTTAAATGTATTCTACATAGTTCCCACTTGTCTACCTAAAATTACTTCCTCTCTATTCTCTTGCTACTAACCTTCTTCTTTAGATTTCTCTTTCACACTTCTTAGGATATAATAACTCTATATCCTCACCTCCTACCTCCTCAGCATATCATCCTACAACTCACCCCCAGTTCTTTGTCCACTGTCAGAAAATGTAAACCCTTTTACAAACCTATGGATTATATTGTAGATAATAATTGAATTCAACATTTCTGTATATTGTGACCAAACTGTAAATGTCTTAATAGCAACTATTTGTTTTAAAGCTGTATATTGTTTATATTGGGATCTATTAACATTGCCCTTCCCCTCAAAGGAGAGGTATTGGAACCCTACAAGGGCACTATAAGCCTTAGGGTAAAAATGGTAACACCTTGGATCTGCAGAGCTAGAAGGGAAGACACATGAAGAACATGAAAAGACAAGGGAAGAAAGAGCCCCAAACAAACCAAGATACCACTTATTAGAATCCATGGCCAGCACAGCAGAAGAAATTACAGAGAAGGAGTTCAGGATGTACATAATTAAAATGTTCTGTGAATTAAAAGATGATATAAAAAAAGCAAATACAAGCAGTAAAAGATCATTTTGAGGGGCTGGGGATGTGGCTCAAGTGGTAGCGTGCTCATCTAGCATGCGTGAGGCACTGGGTTCGATTCTCAGCACCACATAAAAATAAAATAAAGATATTGTGTCCACCTAAAACAAAAAAAATAAATATTAAAAAAGGTCATTTTGACAAAGAGCAACATAAACAAATACAGGAAGCAAAAGATTACTTCAATAGGGAGATAGAGGTAAACAAACAAACCAAATCCTTGAAATAAAAAAATAAATAAATTAAAAGTTCAATTGAAGAATCACCAACAGAGTAGACCATTTGGAAGGCAGGACCTCAGACAATGAAGACAAAATATATAATCTTAAAAAGAATGTAGACCACATAGTCAAAATGGTAAAAAGCCATGAGCAGAACATTCAAGAAATATGGAATAGCACAAAAAGACCAAATTTTAAGAGTCATTGGAATAGAGGACGGTATAGAATTCCAAACCAAAGAAATGAACAATCTATTCAATGAAATGGTATCAGAAAATTTTCCAAAGAATGATTTGGAAAATCAAATTCAAGAGGCTTACAGAATGCCAAATGTACAAAATCACAGCAGATCCACACCAAAGCAAACTATTATAATAAAAATGTCTAACATACAGAATGAGAAGAGAATATTAAAAGCCACAAGAGAAAGGAATCAGATTACATATGGGGGAAACCAATTAGGTTATGAGCAGATTTTTTCAACCCAGACTCTGAAAGCTAGATGATCCTAGAGCAACATATACCAAGCTCTGAAAGAAGATGGATGCCAACCAAGAATTTGGTATCTAGCAAAATTAAGATTTAGATTTTATGATAAAATAAAAATCTTCCATGATAAACAAAAATTATAAGAATTTACAGCTAGAAAGCCTTCACTACAGAACATCCTCAGCAGAATATTCCATGAAGAGAAAATGAAAAACAACAATGAAAATCAGCAGAGGGAGGTATTGCACTAAAGGAAAAGCCTATCAAAGGAGAAATTAAGTCAAATTAAATACCAAAAATAAACAAAAATGGCTGGGAATACAAATCATGTTTCAATAATATCTCTGAATGTTAATGGCATCAACTCACCAATCCAAAGACATAGGCTTGCAGATTGGATAAAAAAGACCCAAAAATATGCTGCCTCAAAGAGACTCATCTCATAGGAAAAGACATCCAAAGACTGATGATGAAAGGTTGGGAAAAATCATATCACTCACATGAACTCCAGAAGCAAGCAGGAATTTCCATCCTCATGTCAAATAAAATAGACTGCAAACTAAAGTCAATCAAAAAGGATAAAGAAGGACACTACATGCTGCTCAAGGGAATTATACACCAACAATACTTAACAATAATAAATATATATGCCCCAAACAATGGGACATCTATGTTCATCAAACAAACTATTTTAAAGTTCAAGAGTCAATAGACCACAATACAACAATTTTGGGTGACTTTAACACACCTCTTTTACCACTGGATAGATCTACCAAAAGAAAGCTGAACAAAGAAAATATAGAACCCAATAATACAATCAATAATTTAGACTTAACATATATAAAATATTTCACCTTTAAATGAGAGAATACACTTTCTCCTCAGCAGCACATGGATCCTTCTCTAAAATAGATCATATGTTATGCCACAAAGCAAATATTAGTAAAATATAAAAAAGTAGAGACACTACTCTGCATTCTATCAGATCAATATGAAATGAAATTGGAAATCAATGATGAAATAATAAATAAAATCCACTCCAGA